AATCACTTATTCTCTTTTCTTCCTCTTCAATCCGTGCTTTGGATGCCTCCATTTTATTTTGCATCTCATTTATAGCATTTTTTATTTCATCGCAACTATTTTTATGCTCCATAGTCTTTGTAGCTATAGTTTCTCTGATGTCTTCCATGCCTTTTTCAAGCCCAGAGATTAATTTTATGACTATTGATCTGAATTCTTGTTCAGTTATTTTGCTTGTATCTGTTTTGAGCAGTTCTTTAACAGTCAATTCTTTCTGGAACTTCTTTGGAGGAGAGCTCTTCCGTTTTGTCATTTTGGTTAGCTTTCTATCTCTTGTTAGTTTTAAAAGCTTGTTATGCACTCTACTTCTGTGAGTGCTACTGTATGAAAAAAGGCTCTTTGATTGTCCAGGGCCTGTCCTTCAGAAAGTGTTCTTTGAATGGTGTCTCTTGGTCTCTCTTGTTGAGACCTTGGTTATTCTATTTTCCTACTCGTAGTGGTATTTGGGACTCTCCACCATGTGTACTTTGGCTTGTTTTTTGAGGTAGCCCTGGAAAAGAAAACAGACAAACATACAGGGAACAAAGGCACACAAACGTATGTACAAATCCAAGAAACATGCAAACCAAAAGGGAAAACGAAAAAGAAAAAAGAAAAGGGGAAGGAGGCAAGGCCAATAATAAAAATAAAAATAAATGAAAAAGAAAAAGAAGAAAAGAAAAGGAAAAAAGGAAAAAAAAAACAATAGACAAAGGACAGTCTAAAACATATAACCAGATTTCCCAGCTACAAACAAATAGCTGGTTGTTTCAGTGCTGGTGGAAGAGCATAGAGAAAGAGAGAAATGACAGAGCAGGGATGAAGTGAAATTGGAAATGAAATGAGCAGGCTGAAGGAATAAGCAGCTTATTTCAAAAGAGAGAAAGAGTGGAATATGGTTGGATAGGAGGCGAAAGAAATTATGATGATGCTACTCTGAGGAATTATATAGTCTGATGACTCCAGAGAGAAAGAGATAAAAAGGTAGCGGTGGGGGTGTAAAATTTACATCTAGAGAATTGATTAGATGTGACTGTTTAAGCAAGCCAATGACTAGAATTAATCAGGGCAGTGCATCCATGTTGGTCTTGCCCTGGTTCCGGTTTAAAAAAAAAAAAAAAGGCAGCTCTCTAGCAGGGACAGGAATGGTTTGGTCCAGTGTGTCCCACGGGAATCCTGCCTTAGCAGTTATGAGGAGAAAAGTGGCGGTGCTCCAGTTCCTTCTTGAACCAAGCATTGAAACTCTTTTGGGTGTGATCTCCCTGTGCCAGGGGTGTAGCCAAGGTGGGCCATGCTCTATATCCCAAGCCACGCCTTGTTTCCAGAGCTCAGTTTGCACACCCCATTGAAATTGCCTGAAATATAAACTTGCAGGCGGATTGCTCAGAGCAGTTTCAAGTCTCTCGCCTTCCCCCTGGGGATAGAGCTGGAAGCCGTTGCTCCTCTCTCCTCCAGGTCGGGCTGGTGAGTGAGGAGCAGTTTCACCCGGGGTCGCCTGGGACGAGTGAATCCTGCCTCGTGTCAGCTGGAAAGCAGTAAACCGGTTCTCTGTGTGTCCCATCGGCTGAATTATAAACTCGCAGGTGAGTCCCTCAGAGCCTTTTCAAGCCTCTCACCTCCCCGCGGAGCCAGAAGCACAAGGGCACAGTTTCAGGCGCCGCTGAGTCCCCTGCAAGACCTGGACATTTTGAACCCTATTAAACTTTTAAGTGTCCATGGTTGTAAGATGGAGATGGTACATTTTGCTCCCTCTTTACTCTGCAGGAATTCTTGGAAGATTCCCTCTTTACCCTCCTTCCTGCTGCTAAAGAGACTCTTGGGCACTAGCTCTAACCAGATATCTGGCCTCTGGAACCTTTAAATGTGTCTGTCAGGGGAGGGAGCAGAAGAAACAATTTCCCTTTGGACTGCTTGAGTTAATGTTGTTAGGGTCTCCCCTGGCCTAGAGAGGAGTTAAGGGAGCTAGTCTTTGCAGAGCCTTAGGATAGCCTGGGGAGAAAGGCAGGGTCCAGCTTGCCATGCATGTCTTGGGTCTTCACACACATGGCTGGTTGCTTCGTTACCGGTCCCCAGACATGTAGATTGAAGCATCTACACTGACCTCAAGATCTCTTTTCAACGTCTCAGTTTCACCTTATGTGAGATTCATATGTATATTTGTGGAGAGGCATTCAGGAAGTTACTGCTTGGAGACACTGATCATGACTGCTCAGAAGGTGTCTATATTGGTTGGTTTTTTTTTTTTTTGCATTCTTTTTTTTTTTTTTTACAAATAGTTTATTGT